CAAGGTGTTGGTTATCACCTTTAAAGCCCTACATGGCATGGGATCGGGTTACCTGATGGACCATCTCACCCCCATTACATCAACCCGTCCCACCCAATCAGGCAGAGAGGGCATGTTGCGGACCCTGTCAGCAAGAGAATGTCAGCTGGCAGGGCCTAGGAGGAGAGCCTTCTCTGCCATTGCCCCTTCCCTTTGGAATATTTTCCCCACAGAGGTGGGGCGGGCCCCTACGCTCCCGGTTTTCCGGAAAGGATTTAAGTCCTGGCTCTGCCAGCTGGCATGGGGCGATAAGAGTTTTAATCAGTCCTGGGGGTGGCTGGTGCCCTGATGTCACTCCTGAGTTATTCACCAATTTCATAATTCTTGGAATTTATTTACTATTTTTAAGATTGTTTTTATATTGTATTTTAATTGATTTTATCTCCTTTGTAAATGGCCCAGAGTCACTTTTCAACAAGTTGGGAGGTGACAAACTTGATATATAAATAAAATAAATAAATAAAAACCCCAACTATTAAACATACTTACTTGCATCTGACATGCTAAGCCTAAGTGATCTACTATACTTCGTATCTCTCTTAGTACAACTAAGAGGCCAGAAAATATTTTGCAGGTTGTGATACAGATCCCAAACTACACAAACTTAAGGTAGAGTGCCAGCTATGCTTCCTAAAATCTTCTCCCCCTAAAATCAGGGCATTTGGGAGCAATATAGGATAGGGTATAGGATGCTGCTGAAACTTGAGACGAATCCGTCTTTTTCACCAACCCAGCAGCCTCAGAAAAGTTTATTATGGACATAAGTGGGAAGAAGGGATGGAAAACTTTCCTATCCCAGACTTTAACTTTGCTTGTGATTTATGCTGTCTTTGAAAATAAAAGAGCAAATTTGCCTTTATTACACAAGGGCAGACAAAACAAACAAACAAACCCATTACTCACCTACTTGCAAAATAACTCAGAATAAATGCATAAAATATTTTATGCAATTTTTAAGCAAGCTAAATTATGTGAAACCGAGATGAAATGTAACATTAAACAAAGATTTTATTTCTCCTTTAAATCAGGAAACTTTATACCATCCCATGAAATTTGTGAGCATCGTAATTATTTTTTCCTTTTTTGGTCCTTCCAAACCACTTTATCTGGAAACTGTGTTGCTGCAGACAGAAAGGTTATTGTTGGGCAGGACACATTTAAAAAATGTTTTCAGGAGAGAATTCTTCTAATAACAGGTCACCTAAAATAAATACTGATGCAGAATAACAATCCCCTCCCCAATGAGAAGAGGAAGCCAACAGGTAAAGAGAAAAGATTATTCAGCACAGTAGTAGGATCTGTTCTGCAGGAGTCGATATCAGCGCTGGGATGGTTAGTTATAAACATGCATAGCACACTGTGTTCTTTTCTTATTGGCTAATATATGTTTTTGCCTTACTGTATATGGTTACGCTTTACCTTTTTTGCACATACATAGGCACTTTGTTCCCTATGTGGTTTGAATGGCCACCTCCCCAGCCTAGATTAACCTGGCATGCATTTCCTTGTGCATGACCTGTCCACTGAGAGATAATGGGGAAAGGCCTTCATTCAGTACTGTTTTGTTTTTTTTTAAGACCACCAGTATACTTTTACTAAATGTTGTTTATGCCTGAATATTCACTATGTTTCTTTCCATGAATTGCAAAACTGTCTGAAAAGGAACTCAATACACATCCAGTTTGCCAGGCTACAAAGTCCAAGCTCTTCATCACAGATGTTCCTTGTATGCTTCTGGATGTCACGGGAGGACAACGTCAGTCACTTCTTACGGTAAGAAATCTGTAAGAATACAGATTTGTGAAATCTGTAAAAATACCTTCAGCTAACTCAGCTGAAAATGTCCAGCCAACATGGCAGCCTTCCCCAGCTGGAGATCTGCAATCCAGAGGTGCAGATTTATAGCCAGCTTAAAGAATGCCAGGCTGAAGCAGAATAAACTTTTGCAGAATAGGTTTGTGCACTCCACTACCTGCCACACAGTTAATCCATATATTACAGGAGTTAATTATCTTCAAAACAGATCAAAGTAGGAATTCAGAAAATGTAGGACTTAATACATCACAAAGCCAAAACACTTTACTGAAAAATATTTTATTTATAAAAAAAGAAGCATGCACAGCCTGCATAAAAATACAGTATTCATTGTGTTCAGTCACTTGTGCATTAAGTAAGGACATACTATGATTCCATGAGTAGATTTATCTTAGAATTGCTTTACAAATGATGTGTGTATCAAAGGAATAACTTGGAAATTCTGGTTGAAATAGCTCCTCGAGACATTGGGGGAATTGTAGCCAGTTGGAATGAGAGGAAAGCATAATTGGAAGATACTAAAAATCTTCTGTTTAACCACATTGCACAGCAGAGACATTTGGGATCACCCAAAAGTTTTCTTATAGCAAATATTAAATTCCAGACCAACGTCTGCTAGGGAAGAACCATATATGCAGACATGATTAGAAAACATTGCAGAGGATGGCTTGGACATTAATGAAAAGGAAAGTCCTTTTCATTGTCTGAAATTTGTCTGAAAATTTGTCTGAAAATTGTCCTTTTCAGACAGTTCCTTAAGGTCCAAGACCTTAAACTAACTACCAAGTTGGTAGGTTAAAAGCCAGTTTTACTGGACTAG